GTCGTTTCGCAGCCTTCGTCCGCTGCAGCCGTTACCGCTGCTACGACCGATGACGACGGAACCGACATTGTTGGTGTTGCAGGTTCCGCCAGCTCGACTATCTCGTCCTTGCGCATCGGTGCACTTGACACTATCACTGGACTGTTCAGTTCCGTATCGACTTTCATGACATCGCACGTGCCCCAGGTTCTTCGCATGTCCATCTCGCCGGAGCTTAAGAAGGCCATATCGAGTGTCAGGGGTTCTTCTACCGCGAGTGAACGTTCGCTTAACTTGCTTGTTTCGACCCTCATTCGCAAGACTCCTGCCAAGGAGGTCTTTGAGGCTACATTCAAGGTCTGGGATGAGGAGCTCGCTTCGAATAAGGTCGAAGCCGATGTCAGGGCAGAGCGACTCGTCAGTGTTTCCGAGTTCTTGGGTAGAACTCTGCGACAGAGCGACAGAGAAGCTATCAGCGCCACTTATAAGTTGGTTTACCGCTTCCTGCTTCGCGCTCTCGACCTTCGCCGCAATAGCCTTTCTCAGGACGACAAGCTCTCATCCGCCTCGATTGGTCAGATCGAATCGAGTCTTGTCGGATCTGCGTTCATGCGCATGGTACTCAAGCTCAACGAGGCTTCTTTCCGACCCTTGTTTATGCGCATGTTCGACTGGGCGGTTCTTGACCTGGTCGACGACGACGATGCAAACGCGGCTGCAGAAGCGGATGGTATCGTCGCTCGACAGATTGTGCTCTTCAAGACCTTCAACGCGCTTTCCGAGACGCTTCACAGTCTAGTCTCTTCGTACTACGCTGTGCTCTTGGATCAGGTGATTGAGCTGCTCAACACTTGGAGCAAGGCCACTCGCGTCTCCGGCAGCACGCAAGCCTTGCAGAAAGAGCTCTGGAGCCAGGTCATCCGATCGATCCAGCTCTCGGCGAAGAACGACGAAGGTGTGTTCTGGAACCCTACGCGCGTTGCCAAGATTGTCTCTCCGCTCCTGGATCAGATGAATCTCCTCAACGGCACGAAAACTCGCTTCGTCGAGTCGAACGAATTTGTCTCGCTTGTTGGCCCTGTTCTTGTCCGTCTGCTCAAGAACGTCAACGATGAAGCGACGCTCAAGCTGTTCAATTCGAAGTTGCTGCAGCGTGCATCGGCGACACGCACAACCAACAGCTTGCTCGTTCGTTCCACCGCCACGCAGCTGCTCACGCAGATGTGGCACGCTCAGAAGGACCACTTGCTCGCTTTGGTGCCCGAGACCATTGCTCAATTATCTGAATTGCTCGAGGATGACGACGAAGAGATCGTTCAGCATGCCAACGAGTTCCGAATTGAGATCGAAGGTGCACTTGGTGAAAGCCTCGAGTCTTACCTCACGTAGTGCGCACGTCACACTTCACGGATTTCACATGGAATGCAGCAATACATTCGCACTTGTTTTCTCAATCATAGAGCAGCAACTCGATGTGTACATGAGCATCCATCGATACCTCAATCACGAAGGGAGGCAAACAGTGAAGACTTGCGCTCGAATTCAGGCACCAGGCGCACCGAAGCATCCCTGTCGACGTCTGTTCCCCCACTCTCTCTTGACTGGCACTGGCGGCAATCGTCCTATCTTCGGACATGCTACACAGAAATTTGAGAAACAGCATATTGTATTACCCTACCTTAAAACCTTAGTGATGAGTGAATGTGACATGATTACCCTGGATTCTTGTTGTCCTACCAGAAGCCCATTTCTTGTTCGATGCCAGCGTTTGAAGCCAATGCTTCATAGATTTGCGCGCAGACGTCAATGTTGGCTTGCGTTGCGCCGCGGAGGTCTGTTGGACGGACGGAGTAGGGATCTCGACGAACGCGTTGACGTAGACGGTCCTGTTGCTGTCGCTGTCTCCGAGAATGGCTCGAGGAGGCAGCGGATGACGAGGAAGTCAAGATGCTACCGCTACCACTGCCGGTTCCGGTACCCGTACTAACTTCGTTGCTACTGCCGCTGCGGCGACCACCGAGCTGGCCGGCAAGGCCGGCGTGTGTGAAACCTTCGTCACGTAACAGCTCCTCGATGGGGATGTTGAGAGGTGGTGCATCAATGCTGACGCCCGCAAGCCTTGTCGAGGAAGGTTGTGGGCCGAGAAGGAATTCTTCACCGGACTCGTCCAAGTCATCTTCACTGTTGCCGTCTGATGCGTCTTCGTACGTCTGCGGAGGCCTTTCAGCGTCCTCCTCCTCTCCCCATCCAGACGACGTGGCGCCGTTTCCTGAGCCACTGCTGTCGGATGAACGGCCGTGACTCCGTCGTCTCGACGAATCACGACTGGTATCTGGATCTCCATCTAACGAAGAGGGTGCTCGCGAAGGCGATCGCGATTTATGAAGATGGAGGCGAACACGGTTGTAGAATTCTACCAGTAAATCGAGCCCGCTCGCTGCAAGCGCATCAAAGAGGGCCGAGGCTCGTTCGCCGAGTGCTGCCATAGTGGTCGGGTGTCGAGCTGGGTCTGCAGGAAAGAGTGAATCAGCGACTGTGCGGATAGGTCGAAAGACGAGATTGCGATCTTCGATGGGCGCGAGCTCCTCCATGATCCGAATGCATGTCGAGAGAGGAGCACGGATGATGATGCGAACGATGTTGCCCGAGCCAAGGAGCAAGATCAGAAGCGAGCGAGGGATGATCGACAGCCCAGGCACTCCCGGTCTGGTTTCCGGGAGCAGGGGGTATGTAAGCACGAGATGGGTCAAGGAAGAGACAGTGGCCAAATGATGTATCAACCGCCCATCGAAGTTGACCAGATGCAAGTGTGAGAGTGAAGGTTCGCGTTCGCCTATGCGCGGCGACGCTGTTGCAACCGCTAGATCCCCTGGTGGCTCTGAAGCTGATGGGCTCGACGAGGAGGACGATTGTTCGGTCTGTGATGCTGTGACGTTGCCTAGGGCGGCCTGAATTCTGGGGTCGTTTTGCAGAGCGGCAGCAGTAAGGTCGCGATGGCGTGTGACAATACCGTTGAGATCGGCCGGCTTGCTCACGTTGATCAAGGTGACCTCTTTAGGCCGCAACAAGCTATAAAAGCTTGCCGACAGGTTGCTGAATTGGGTGCAGGAGAGCAACAAGTGCGTCACATTCGGACAGGCCGACAATATGGCGTCCGCTGTCGCGTCGTTCACATTGACTGTAGCTTGGTTACGGTTGGCTGACATCGGTAGGGACGAAGATTGGCGAGGACGACCATCGACGGTATCGTCGCTGAAGATAGCAAGGGAGGAGAGCTGATTCGTGAGGTCGGGACGGGCCGAGATGGTGCGCCCGAACAAGTCGATAGCTTGTACGTTTTGTAGTGTTACATGTCGATACAATTCTGGCTGAAAGCGTATCTGATGATGCTTGGACAAGGGGCTAATTGCTATGGCGTGTTGGAGATTGATTAGACCATCCACATTGCTCCTTGTTGTGCTTGATAGTGCTGTCGGGCTATCCAATGCTTGCGACTCTCGGCTGTAACGGGAGTCATTGTTCTCGACAGAGCTGTCCCGATGCCCAAGTGAATGTTGTAGGATGAGATCCACGAGCTCGAGGGGCAGAGCGACCTTCATCAAAGCGAGGTTGAGGTACCTGTTTCAAGGGTAATGCTGATCTGTGCCAAGAAAGCCTACTACCTGAAACATGCTCTGGTTTGGCCCCTTGACCATGAGATGAGATCACAGATTGTACGCCGAGATGTTGGATGAAAGGCGCGAAGGCTTGATCAGAACAGAGTCACGACGAGTAGCTGGCTGTCCAACAGCAGATTTGGGCGAGAGTCCAAGCTACTGAAAGGTCGATGATGGGACACCAGGCAATTAGACTGTCGATGCGAGCGTCGAGTGAAGACCGATTGGTCTGACGCCTCTTCGGCTGGATTGAGGACCGTTGAATTATACGATCTTGGTGAACTCCTGCACAATTTGCACCGAGGGAAGAGGTGCAGGAGCAAGCGTTTGTCGCGAGCAGAAAGGCTTGAGGATGTGAGGGTGCTGAATGGAGCAAAGGTGAGCGAATCGAGCTACAGTGCCTCGGTGTCGTCCAAGAGGATGGAAATAAGCATCCATGTGTTGGTGGTTGCCATGAGCGGCTAAGATAGGGTGTATCAAGTTTCTGTACTCCACTCGCAACGTCTGTTGCTTCCTGCTCTGAGAGAAGATCCCGGTGATGAGGGGAACACGGTCGTTACACAGATGTCGGAAGCTCACACAGGATGCCACTCATGCAAGTCGAGTTGCACAGACTGACCATTTATGCCTTTTTTTGCACAGACTACCCCCCAGATAGACCTTCTAACTTCCTGCATGAGGTGCACCGAATGATATTGCTCCAAACAGAGCCAAAAGACGCTTTTTCCCTGCCTACCAGGAATCGAGAAGAGTAGAAAGAAAGAAAAACCCCATCAACAACAACAAAAAATTCCGCTTGGGATCCAGCGCAATGGAACACGGCTAAAACGGGATATACAGAGAGTTGCAAAGCATCAAATCGGCATGAAAGTCGTCAGGCTGACCCAACCCGATCGCGAACCTCGTCCGGCACTTTCGCCAGATTCACGTCGACGTTGTTTTGAGAGCGTGTGAGCCGTCGCTTTGACATCGACGTTTGTGAATGCTTGATGAATGTTGCAACCTAATGTGACCCGGCAATTGCTGATGCATCGCCGATAAATTGAACCCTTTCATCTCAATGGCCGCCGACGAATTGAAAGCCACCTTCACCGCTATCTGCGCCTCATTCGCCTAGAAGGGGTGTCGATACCGTGTACAGCAGATGTCTTGCTGCAGCTTCGGTGGTTTCGGCCTTTGATTCAAAACGTCTGGACCCTTCTTCTAATACCATTGTGGTTCGTGAGAGAGTGGCGCTACTGAAAGCTTCCTTGTAAGCGAACGCTATACATCAGACGAACGCCGCCCGTCTATCCCGAAATGAAGACACAAGAAGCAGAAACGGAAAGGCAAAAAAAAAAGGAAGAAAAAAAGTCCAAAAATAAATGACCAGCCTGGGGCTCGAACCCAGAATCTCCTGATTACACGTCAAACCGAGGTTTCCACATTCGTAGTCAGACGCCTTACCATTGGGCCAACCGGCCATTAATACCGGAAAGAAAGAGTGATGGATTTATGTAATGCTAGCGTTTGCAAACCTCTTTTTACAAATATCGAACCTCACCTCTCACATCGCTGCTCCGTGGCGCTCTCTGAGAGGCTCAGTGCCGCATCACGTACGCTGTACTTGATCGAATGGAAGCTATCCGTAGCGTGAGGTATCCGATTGACATCCTTTGCATTTATACTATGAAGGGAGAAGCCTCAATGCAGTGGAACGTAGACGTAAGCGGACACCACGATAGCAGCCACGCTCGAGGCGGATAGAGCAACAACGGCTACCATTTCGCGCATCAGCCATTTCCACTGACGAACGAGGTACATGTTGTGCTCCTTGTCCTCGGGAACATCCAAGTGAGAGCTCGATTGCGTCTCGACATTGACCTTTTCTCCCTGGAGTGATATTGTTTCTGCGCTGGATTTGGAAGCGTGCGAAGGCATTTCGAACTTGGTTCGCTTGTTACCAAAGCTGAACACGATCAGTCGTCGAAGCAGAGGCCGCGATAGCTCGAGCTTGCGCCTCTCCCAACGCAAACGTGGATAGATCGAGCCAAACCGAATAGGAATACACATGCCGAGGAAAGCAATGTCTGTCAGCACCTCTCGCTTAGCCGAAGGTGCTGGCAAAGCCAGTGCATCAGCCAACGACTTGCCAAGCAGACGTCGAGAGATGACCACATGTGCAGACAATGGTATGTGGAAAGGTGGCCGATTCGCACATGCAATCAGCACTGGAATCGTCGGTCCTTGCATCCTTGGCCCCACAGCACCTTTAATGTCACCTTGCTGGTCGCCTAGGATCTCGACCTTGTTGAAGAGGTGCAAGATAGTACACCATAGAGTGCGATCAGCAGCATACGGATCACCGAAAGCACGCCGCAAGAGGGCAGGCTCGAGGCCCATGTAGAACCCGACGTGTCTCCAGAGCCCGATGAAGTCTTTGCGCTCTTGGGCAGTGGGCGTTGCACCGATTCTTTGCAGCATGGCCAGAGGAGCTGTTGAGAATGCACACAGCGTACCAAGCATGTCCTCTTGATTGATCGGGACGCCGTTCTTCTCGACGTCGTACACATTTTCGCTGGTATTCGAGTTGTCGTTGCGTCGCTTTTCGGCGAGTTTGAGCACGCGGTGTCGGACGTTGGTGTGCAGGAGGCGAACGCGCACTGCGGATTGCCAGCCCTCCCCACCTCGTTCCGGCGGCGAGAGTGCAGCATTGTCTGCGTTTGCTGATGTTGTGGAAGATGTTGGTGCAGGCATATTCGCAGAAGGAGGACGAAGACTGTCCGCGTTCTCCACGACATCTAGCACAAACTGGGTCGTCTCGAGCAGGCGACTCCACGTTCGATCTGCTCGTGCTTTGTCGACGTGAAACATTTGCTGGAGATCCTTGACGGTAGGGAGCAGGGATGCGGTAGATGGCTTTGTATCCTTGGCACGAGAGGCCGCAGCCGTGGGAACAAGATAGGCAGTCTGCTTGAGCACCTCTGTGATCCTTGGCGAGGCAAAGCCACCAGCGAGACTGAAGTGAAGTAGGACAGTGAGCATGGGTCCTGCATAACGATAGAAAACGTCCTGGCCTCTTCGAATCACTTGAGCTTCGGCCTCAAGCTCTTCCGAGCTATTTTGAGGATCGATCGAATCGTCGTTAGATGGCAACCAGATCGGTACGGTGGAACTCGGTTCTGTTTGCTTTGTGGATGGGTGCTGTGGCCATAGCTCGAGACTGCTTGCTGCTTGTGCTCCGTAGCGTGCACGATACCAGTCCAAATCAAGAGCACCCGCACCTCGCGGTGGCCTCCGATCAACTGCCTTCCAGAAGGTTTTGCATGCGTCAGGCTCTGTACGTGACGAGGCGTCGGTGCATGCCTGGTCATAGATGTTACGCAGTATATCGGTCGACCGCGTGGATGACGGCGAGTCAACTCGATCCAGTGCATTGTCGGCGATCGGATCGCCAACGCGACGTAACCGTTCGAGCTTGCTCGGATGAAGGCATTGTTGGTCCCACTCGGCGATTCGATCCCACGCTTCAATCATGTCGCCATCCTTGACAGCGTCAAGATCATCCCAATTGATCTCCTTTTCATGCCTCAAACCCCCTTTCCTGAGGACGCGCCATCTAAGCGTAGTTGCGGCCAGAAGGCTAGACCGAAGCGAATTAGAGGCAGGAAGCGGCCTTTCCTCGCCAGAGAAAAGATAGACGATGGGAGCCAATCGAAATGGACGGTGCACGAATGTCACATAGACCTGACAGACTGCTTCGACAGCAAGATTCATTGCTGTCGGTACCAGCAAGATGAGCAGAGTGATGGGGGCGGACCAGAGGAGAGCAGGCTCGGTCATCGCTGAGAGAGCACTGCTAGCCAGTCCTCGCAAAATTTGAGTGAGGTCGATGCCTGACATGATGAACATCTGCCAGCTTAGAGGTGCATGCGGAGCATATGGATGACTGGAAGAGCTTCGTCGACGTCGTCTGAGCGACTTAAATGGCGTAGGATGGCTCAAGGGCTACGACCGTGACCGGACGCGTTGTACTGCGTTTGAAGGTCGAGCTGTAAAGCGACTCGAGGCAGGGTCCAGGTGTCTAGATCCCGAGCAATTGGAAACACAACTTGGTCAGCTGGTCGAGAAGTGTGAGAAGCTCATAGGTCTGCTTTACAACACTCGAAGTCCCAGGTGCAAGGACGCCAACGTGAGCAAGGCGCTGAGCCAAGAGGTTGTGCACACATCAGCAGCGAGCCCTCTCCCACACTTCTCGTCGGTGTCTTCAATGACAAGGGGGCTCAATCGACAAAAAGATTCGCTTAGCGTAACGTAGTTCACGTACATGTCAAATTCACCTAGGTCTCGGATTGGAAGTGAGGTCAGTGAAGTTGAAGTAGATAAAGCTGCACAAAGCGTAGAGACTGCGGAGAAAGTGTTTACGGCCGAGTAAAAGGCCAGCGCAAAAGGGGCTCAGCAGCGCACGCGTGCGTGCGTTCCGAGCGTGCGCGAGTGGCGAAAACTTGAAGATACCTGACTCGCATTTGTATTTAGAATCTTCATCAATCATCAACAAAACGCTTCAACTGATTAAGAGTCTGAAGCTCAGTGCAATGCCACCATCGACAAGAGCCGGACAGACAGGAAGAGATGATGATCAAGCGGCTGCGGCCACGGGTAACGGTCGAGAGGAAGGATGGCTCACGCAGGTAGTCAGGATCCTCCAGCTAGCGAACCCAGCACTGACGGCCGAGGAGGCGATGGTACGGGCTATGGGCCTTGTTAGCATCAGTGGCCAGACCCCACGCAGAGAGACGGAGAAGATCCCCAAGGATGTATCGAGTTCCATCACACACATCAAGAAGCTCAGCGATAGCAACTGGCATACTTGGGAACCAACATTCATCGACTGCCTTCAGAGGGTACGCAATGCAAAGGAGATACTATACGGCATAATTGCACCTGGAAGCGAGGAGTACGACGAAGATCTGGACAAGGCCCTCGTGGGCCTCATCCATGCTTGTTGCGACAACAGCCCGGACAGTCGCATCGACACCTACACCGTTAGGGGTGCAGATGAGGAGGTCCAACTCGGCAGCACACTGTACGCCAAGCTCAAGAAAGCACTGACACTGAACGACGCTGTAAAGCGAGCAGGACTGCAGGATCGTATTCACACGGTGCGCTTGCACAATCGAGACGTTGTCAGGCTAGGCAAGGAACTCGATTCGATCTGGAACGATGCGGCACGTCTCGGAAAGCGTTTCGACGAGGACCTTAAGAAGTCAACTCTCTATCGCTGCACGGCCCAAGATTGGTTCTATGCCAACACCGTCGATGCACTCAAGACAGCTAAGCCAGATTGTGAGTATGACGAAGCCTACCACGCGCTAGCAAAGAAGCAGCAGGACGGTGAGATCTCCGGCCGCATTAGAGGGGCAGCCAGGGTTGCCGCGAGTGCGGAGCAGGGGGACAACAACCAGGCAGAGCAGGGACCAAGGGGCAGACGCGATCCCCGCAACCCCTCAGCCCCTCCGAAATGCTACGCGTGTGGAGGACCGAACCATATCGCCCGCAATTGCATGAACAACAATACGACACAAGAAGCGAGCCACTAGGAACTCGGGTGCACCTTCCTAGCGATCGATGGGGGCGAGCGATCAGCATGCGACACCTGGATCGTCGATTCAGGTGCAACTCATCATATGGTAAATGATGAGAGAATGCTGCTCACCTCGACGAGCAAGGTCGGCCAGATCAGTATGGCAGGGGACGAAAGGCTTGAGGTGAAGGCCATAGAGGATGCCTCCCTTCGGGTCGGTGAGGCTACCATCCAGCTATTGGATGTGCTCTATGTGCCGAAACTCAATGCTAATTTATTGTCCGTACAAGGCTTGATCGAGAACGGTGCACGAGTAATCTTTGATGAGTTCGGGACTACCATAAAGCAGAACGATGGTACCCAAGTGCAATTCAGGAGGAACAGGAGACAAGGCCGCTTCGAAGTGCGAGGACAAGCACTGGCCTTGGAGCTGGAGGAGACTCACAACGACGTCCCAGAGGACGATAAGAACACAGGAAGACAAAACGATGTCCCAGAGGACAATAGGAACACAGGAGATCGGGACAGCTACCTCTGGCATGAGAGGTTTGGACACCCGGGACGAGATAAGACAAGGCAGATCCGGGCACACTACCTCGGTACTGACGAGAGGATGGAGCACGAGTCGAAGCATTGCAACACATGCAGTCAAGGGAAACAGACCCGAGCGCGGATGAGCCAATCAGAGTCGAAAAGAGCGGGGGCACCACTAGAGCTAGTACACGTAGATTTGATGACAAATTTCAAGGGCCATGCCAACTACCACTATGCACTAGTTGCTGTGGATAACTTCTCCTCCCTGATCTACGTGGAACCACTCTGCACTAAGAGTGCCGCACTCACGGCGCTGAGAAGGTGGATCACCAGGATGGAACGAACAACAGACAGGAAACTCAAAAC